CTGACCACGGTATTATCCATCAAAGTTCCTGTGTCAATACTCCACAACAAAATGGCATAGTTGAACGAAAAAATAGACACATTCTTAAAGTATCCCGATCCATCATGTTCATTATCCACATTCCAAAATTTTTTTAGGGAGGGACTATTCTCACCGCTACATACTTGATAAACCGTATGCCCTCCCGAACTGTCTCATTTTTCAAAAGGTTTTCCCTATTATACCTGTCAGCAGTGAAGGTCTCACTATGATTTGTTCTTTTTCCAATTTTCGAGGTTTAGAACCTTTACTTACCATGGCAGAGCCTTCAGTTGTGCAGGATTCAAGCATCCTACTTTCCTCTGTGCTGAATAAGGATACTACTTCATTGAGATATGGCATTTCTTCTTTCCCCAAAATCTAGACTCTTACCTAATCATATTCCTCATTGAGTCCTACCATAAATTGGTGAGTGCTATCGTTTTCAACAAACTTCTTTAAAGCAGCTGCATATTTGCAGCTTTTCATAGTGATAATATGTCCTAACCAAGCTCTTGACATATTTCTTTCAAAAGGTTTGAATATTTTATGGCAGTCTTGTTGCCTTATTTAATTTTCCAGGCTTTGATAATCAATTTCTAGATCTGAAATGCATCTTTTCTCTTGGAATAGGTTTCCGGAACTGTTTTCCTAATACTTTTTATTGTGGGCAGGCACATAACTAGTTTACTAATATCTTATGTCATAGAGTTCCAGAGGCAAACCATAGTCATAGAATCATTTCCATCCCAAATGCCAAAAATGCGATCTCCTGGTGTTGGTGCAATGCCGAAGAGATGGTTTAGTTTTCCTCGACCTTTGAGAGTGGTTCGAATTAATTGTGACCAACTCGGACAATTCTTCCCATTGAAGCAGTCGACAGCCTAAATTAGTCGGAAACCATCGTTCTATGATGAGATTCCCATAGGGAAGTTTATGCCTGTATACTGAGATGCAACCTCCAATATTCTTCAGGAACTTTCAGGGTTTACTGGACAGAGTGGTAAGGCCAATGGCTGCCCGTGGAGATGCAACTGCGGCTGGAGTGCAGCAGCTACTGCGGCAGAGGGGCAGAATTGCAGCTAGAGCTTCTGGGCAGAGTGTGCAGCTGGAGCTACAGAGGTTCTAGTTACTATGTGTGGTTGAGCAGAAGGTGGTGCATGGGTTCTTGCAGTTTGGGCAGAGGCATGCGCTGCATGAGGGGGGGCCACAAACTACCGGCTGCTTGCCAGCTGGCAGCAGGAGTGGCAGGAGAGGAAGTTTGTAGCTCTGTTTTGTGGTTGCTGCCAGCTATGAAGGTCGGCTGGCTATTGCAGGTTTCCGGCGGCTATAACAGCCAACAACTGGTCTAAGGTCGACTACGAAGGTTGACCTCACCTCCTTTAGGATTTTTTTTATTTCAGCAATGAAAATCAAATAGAGTTCGTAAAAGAGTCTTGGATTTTTTTTTTTTAAAAAAAAAAAAAAAAAAAAACTAAGGCTTTGATATAGAAGAATGAAGTTATGTATTTCATTGAGTATAAAGGACCTATATATATAAGTCCCTAGCAATCATACAAGGAAACCTAATTAATAACAAAGGTTGCAATGGGTATATTACTAATATACTCTTTATCCTACATTACATGCAAATACAGTTCCCAACATTTTATATTATTCTTTTGTCAAATTTCAATGTTCTAAAACTAAATTGTTCAGTTAATTAGTGGTTATCATTCAAAAAATGTGATTAAGCAATTCTGCTAACTGTATTTTGTAGCTCAGTTACAACCTCGCATATAGCTGAACAGTATGGTAAGGCTCGCAGTCAGGGCTAAAAAAGCAGCTAACCGAACTGCGATCACCTCTAGCATTTGGTAGAACATAACAGAAAGAAAATATCACTAGATAGAACTGAGCGAAGAAAAGTAGTTTGTTGCATTGAGATAAATTCAAACAAGATAACACAATATACAATTACTTCAAGACATTTGTGCTAGTTAATTGTACATAATAGTCTAAGTTATTTAAATTTAACTTATAAAATTAATTTATGATCAATTAACTAATATGTTAATGGATTATTATTGAATAAGTTTTTAATAAAAATATAAATAATTGAAATTCATATAAAATTAATATTGTTTGAGATCTCCTTAAAATATATTCTTTAAGTGTTTCAGTAAAATGTCTATAACCAAACTGAAAATCAACCTTCAATTATTGTAATTAAAAATGAAAGTTAAAATTCAAAAAAAATAATAATACTAAATTAATGCCATATAAGCAGATTGAAGAGAAAGATACTAAAGGGAAGGAGCATGGTACTTTAGGAAAATATCATTTATTTTGGTGAGACCAACTTTGTTCTATGAAAAAACTTGCTCCAAGTTTTAATGTTTTTTATACTGTTTAATTCTTACACTTCTGCAACCAAACATAGAACTACAATCTGTTCTTCTGTTCAGTCCTCTACTTTCTATTTTTTCAAATGCTATTATAGTGATCCTATAAATACAAATCACATATTATAAGGTAGAAAAGAAGCAAAAGATGATTCAAATACTTGCGACATAATATTAGACAAGTATTTAGCAAGATGGAACCCTCATAAAAACTGGTCCCTGCACCTGCTACATGTCGCTGGATGTCAATATTTCTTGCAGTTCTAGTTGAAAATAGACACCAGCACACTAAAGAATCATGCACTATAAATGAATAACGAATGAAGAAAGTGCCATAGTTCACTTATTAACTTTTCTTTTGAGAATAATGGTTCCATATTAACTTTTTACAGTATAAGAGTAAACAATTATGAATCCAACAATCAAAAAATAAACAATTAGGAAACATGGCACTTACTGAAGCCAGAAAAACTTTGGCTGCAGCCAGAAAATCCTCTGTTTTTCCACCAGTACAAGAACCAATATATACTCTGTCAATTTTTACATCTTTACATTCTCTTGCCAAGGCACGATTATCAGGAGAATGAGGCTGCAAAAATGTAATTGGAAAAAGGTGATGATAAACTGTCAAGAACTTTCTGAAAAAAGAAAACTGTTGAGATCAAGACAAATGGTCTTCAGCATATATCAATTGAAAGAAGATCCATTATTCCTGAAAAGTTTTCTCTAAGCAGAAAGATATTGCACTTTGAGTATTTAGAATCACTCACTTTGGCCACCAAAGGCTCCAACTTTGAGACATCAAATCTGTACTCTGAAAGAAAACTGAAAGAAACAAAGGAAAACTCGTCAGTGCAAATGATACCCAAAATTATAACAAAAGACAAAGTTTATATCTGAACCAACAGTTGAGCCTACAGGCCATAGACTATCATTCCTAATAGACTTGATATGAGTTTCCACATCAGTAAATTGGGAACTCCGAAATTGCCCATAGAAAGATGAAATTTCAGTCCATAAATGTTCAATATCGTAACTACAGAAAATATAAAAACACAAATAAGGAAACTATAACTAAATGACTCAAAACAGAATCAGTTATTCGGCCTAATATTTGAATGCAATCCATTTGAACAGTTTTTTCGTCTTTGAATACAACAGTTACCTTTGCTTTAAGTAGAACAACTTAGAAATTAAACCTTTGGATCCAATTAATTGTCAGAAGAATCTACCTTGCTTGATCATCACTGTAAACTGGTTCATAAGGCAGAGCCGTCTTATCCTGCATAGAGCAAACGATGACATTATTACCCCTTTTTAGCAACCTCATGTACCATGCATAAAACAGCAAAACTCCATGACATGAACAAATTTGCAATAAATTCTATTTGTAAATGTGAATTAAAATGATATATTGCACTAACCTCAAGGTACTTAAATGTAGTACTATCAGCAGGGATAACACCATTCTTTCCACCAGCTTCAACAACCATATTGCATAATGTCATTCGTTCTTCCATCTATCCAATGAAATTAATATCTTGAATATTGAGGATGTGATCCATTTAAACTAAAATATGCAAATGCAGGCAGAAAACTTGAAGTAGCCTATTATTCCTATAGTGTAATACAGAGATTTACTTACATTTAAACTTTCAACGGTAGTGCCAACAAATTCCATCGCCTTATATGTTGCACCAGCTACAGATATTTCACCAATAATCTGCACGGGTGATGATTATTTGGGAGACAAAAGATAGAAAAAGTTAGCTACAAGCCTCCAGCAGCACACCAATAAGCCAAGTGAAATTCAGTCATCAAACAGTATCTCACTCTTCCTCATTAATGTTGCACCAAAGATCCGCTGAAAATAAGTGATTTACCCAGGTTGATATGAAAAAGGCTTTAAACGGTTCAAAATTACATTATTAGAGTATGCTATTAAAGGCTTGATCACAAATGACCTTATCTGATGGGCACTCATCTCAAGAGCCTTTTTATGAAGGTTTGATTTTTGACCGGGTGTTCAAAGAAAATAATCATGTAGCAAACATCATTTATGTCTGGAACAAACGCCTCAGTGAGTCTTTTTACTAGCTCATTAGAATATAAAAAATGCTTGAAGATTAAAATAAACTTACTTGCAAAATTAAATCCTTTGCAAGAAGATAATCAGGCATTTCACCATCCATTACAAATCTCAAAGTTTGGGGCACCTGCAAATTAACAAAACAACAGAAATACAGAAAGTGTAAATAAGATGACATAAAATCTCCTAGAAAACCTGGGGAAAAAGAAGTAAAAATTTTTCTCTTGACATAATCTCCTAACAGTTAGCTCAGTTGTCTGACTAAATTAGCTCATCCCAATCAATGAATTGAATTGAGAAATCAACAAGATATTTTCTCTAGAAAGAAGCCTTTTTCTCTTTAGGGAGAAAGGTTACTCTTGTTCATGCCTAGTTATCGGGTATCTCTTTTTATTGTCTATCCTTGTTTAGAATTTCAGTGGAAGAGGCCAATAGAATTGAGAAAACAGCAAGGTATTGAGAGGACAAAGATCATTTGGTTAGATGGAACATATGTTGTAGAGGGTAGAGAGCAAGGGGATTCAAGTTTTGGGAGTTTGGTTTTTAAAAATATTGCTTTGATTGTAGCCCTCCGAAAGGGGGGGAAAAAAAAAAAAAAAAAAAAAAACAAAAAAAAGGGGCCACGTCAGCAGCCACGTCAGCAGGCCCGGTCAGCAGTCCCGGCCAACCGGGGCCTGCCACGTGGCAAGACCACGTCACTCCGAAAGGAGCCACGTTGGCGATCCGCGTGGGTGCGATCCGACGGCTCAGATCAATCGCGCGATCGGACAGCCCAGATTCAATCGCACGGACGGCCCAGATTCAATCAAAAATGAACGGCCCAGATTAAAACGAAATGAACGGCTGTGATCAAAAGGCAAGGGGTTATAAATAGAACCCCCACACCAGAC